TCAGAGCGGGGTGCCCAGTGCTAGGAGGGATGACTCCAGCCAAAACCAGTTAGAGAAGGAAGCTCCCCTGGCAGGGAGCCTGGCAGACAGGAGTATGGCAGTCCCTGGCAGAGGCTTTATGGATGAAGTGCTGCCCTACCCAGTAAACTCAGGAGGAGGGGAGCTGCTGTGAGCCACAGGCCTGGGGTCACAGGCAGAGACTGTAGTGGCTTTGGAGACTCAGAATCAGAAAAGGCAGGAGCTGTTTGTGAGTACCTGTTAGGTCCCTTCTGAGGGCTGCAGCTCTTCAAGGAAGGAATCATCATTATTCACCATCTAGATGAGGCTCAAGAGGAGCAGATCACAGAGACAGGAAATGACTATGTATGTGTGTGGGGTGGGAATGGGGACTAAACCCAGATCAGATTCCATGGGCCTGCTCTGTCTCTGTGTCCACCTACTCACTGTGAGCAGTCTGTCTGTGTGTCCACCTACGCACTGTGAGTAGTCTGTCCGTCCGTGTGTCCACCTATGCTGTGAGCAGTCTGTCCGTCCATGTGTCCACCCATGCTGTGAGCAGTCTGTCCGTCCGTGTGTCCACCTACGCACTGTGAGCAGTCTGTCCGTCCGTGTGTCCTCTACGCACTGTGAGCAGTGCTCTGCTAATGATCTCCTTCTTGGAGGTCTTCACCAGCAGGGGCAGGGCCCTGCTAATAGCCTAGTGAAGACTCCTGGAAGTCTACAGTGAGAGGGACAGCGCCTTCTCCCTCCACCTGACCTGCTGCTGGCCTGAGTCAGCCCAGGTAAGCAGGGCCATCCTGACCTAGGCTGACCCTACCTAATATGGAACCAGTATGTCTCATACTCCGTAAGGAGTGGGCAAGATGTTTGAAAAAGGTTGCACTACGGGCTTTGATGACCAGGGTCTGGCACGTATGAGAAACAATCCCCTGGGGAAGGAGGAGGGTAACTGTAGATTTGGCTCCCAGGGCAGTGGGCAGGGTTACATGTTTGATGCCACCATTCCATAGGGACAAGGGAAAACAGGTCAAGTGTCCACTTGGAGGATGAGAGGGTTGCTCTGAAACTGCTGCCCCTGGAGGAGAAGACAGCCAGTCTGCCCTGCCGGCTCCTCACAGACCCAGGACGGAACTGTAGAGGCCCAAGACTGACACAACCCTTAGAGCAGGGCCCTTGGGGCGTACATCTGTTTCCTGGGCTCTGAGAGCCATGTTTGGACCCTGTCTTGAATCAATGTCAGTTGTTTGAACCTGTCGGCCCTGCTTCTCACCAGGAGCGAGTATCCAATGTGGCCACCCACCTTACCCTGCCACCCCTGGCTGTGGATGGCTTGTGGCTTCCAAACCTTGAATGCCTTTCAAGGGAAACATGCTTAGCTCGCTAAAGGGATTCAGAGAGTGGACCACAGGCCGAGAAAAAGTGAATGGCAAGGGGTGTGCTGCTCCTGGGGAGAAGACCGGATTCGACTCGATTAGGTTATTACACAAGTAAGTTCTGGGACACTGGAATGAGGCTGGTGGGGTCCCTGCCATTTCTGGGAATCTGGCTCACAGAACAGTGAAGGAGCCCTAGCTCAGGTGCCAGTGACATGGTGGGGAGTAATGTCCCAGCTCCCCCACAGAAAGGCTCAGGGCATGCTTGCTTATCAGCTCATGTCTGGGGCCTACAGCTCAGCAGGGACCTTGGGGCCTGTGGCCTTGACCTAATATTAGGTCTCAGCCTTTGTATCTGTTACGGATAAGAGAAGGAATTCATTTCCCTCGGCACGGCAAGGAGAGTCACAGTCCTTTCTCTGGGAGCTGTGGGGGCGATTTTCATAAGGCTCCCTCAGGGAGAGTCCAGTTGAAGTACCAGGCTGTGGGCTGAGTGTGTCCCGTACACGATCCCTACGCACAGGTCTGTGAGGAGCAGTGTTCACTCTCTTACGGAGGTGAGCAATGGCATGACCACAGAAACCAAATTGCCTGCCTAAGTACCACGGCAAGGAGAGAAAGGGTCTCTTCTAGACCCTGAGGCAAACTTGGCTTCACTCAGTCATCAGGACCCCATCCCAACGAAGTGGTGTTTCTCAAGATTTCTTGAGGAAGGGCCTACTTTAAAAATCGTACTACAAGACAGAGGCAGCTTTCCTGGGTTCTACAGAGCTTAGAAATATACTCATTATTGCCACGATTGGGCGAGATGTGGACCCTGTTTCCTACAGAGCTGGGCCCCAACACTCATATCTACAGCAGGCCTGTGTGGCCTCCTTGTACCTCACCTTAGGCCCATCACCCCACTCCTCTAGGAAGAACGGTGGGCCTCATCAGCCCCCAGATTGGAAGTTTCTGTGAACAGAAGATGGTCTCAAAAGTCTCATTGGCCAGGAAGATTTTTCTCAGCCTTTACTCTCTGGAGTTTGCCTAAATATCAAATTATATCATTTATTATGCATTGACCCCACACCTGGCTCTGCACACCATGGTAAACAAGACTTCATTTTTGGGAAAGGTAAGCTTGCTCCTTCCACTGAGATGCTGGTATGGGTTACCCTGCCCCAGGGGAAGTGATGTCCACTCCATGGGCCCTCTGACCTGTTCCTCTGCCTCTGTCCATCCCCATGGCACTCCCAAGAGGGGTCTGGCTGCACTCTGCTTAAACATGGTCAGCAATGAGGGCTTCTGTCTCCTCCCAAGGCCTGTCTGGTCCCCTCACTGTTCAGCCCCCACGAGGGAGGGTCCAGGCCTTCCAGTTCCTTCTCTTCACCCGCTCTGAGAGTCAGATGAAGTGGCGTCCCAGCGCCTTGTGCTGACTTCCCAAACCACACCCGAGGAAGAGTTTCGCCTGTTTTTTGCTGTTGCTCCCTTCAGGGTTGAGACCTTAGGCTCAAGCCATAACCCTCTGCTCTGTGGTCCGCTGGCTTTGAGAAGCTGCCTAGGGTCACGGTGCTGAGGTGCAGAAGGCCCCAGAAAACTGAGCAGGACACAGAGGTTCTATTACCCGACTTGTGTGAACCAGGGAGACGAGGTGGGTCTAAACCCTTATACCATTCCCACACCACAGACCTCAGAGAACCCCAGGGGAGAGATGAAAAGAACACCACGATGGAGCTCATTCAGTAGCTTATGCCAACACTCCCGAGTGAGAGGCTGAAGAGTAGGCCGACAGTCAATATTGACTTGGGCCTTGTCTGGGCCCAGTTCCAGCCCATTCTAACAGTGCTGTGGTTCAGCAGCTGCTCACACCAGCCCAGCCCTCTGACCTCTGTGTGCTGGACCTAGAATCCCAGTCTTTTCCCGTCCTGCTTCTGGCGCACACGGGGCTGGCCTGGGCACGAGGCTCTAAGAAGGCTGAAGAATGCCGTTCCTTAAGAGCGCTACAGGCCAGGGCCCTTCTTGCTGTCAACTGACTTCGTGGAGAAGCCCTGGTCCTCAGGACCTTTCCAGAACTTCAGAGGCCCTCAACCACAAGATGGCTTTACGTTTCTATAGCCCTCAACGTTCCAGAGCTCTGTTTTGTTCACCTCCTTGCTTTTTATGCTCAAAACCACCGTGAGATGGGCCTTTTTTTTTTTTTTTAACTGTCCTGGAGCTCATTAAATTGAACTCACAGGGGTCTCCCTGCCTCAGCCCCTCAATATCTGGGATTAAAGTCATGTGCCACCATGTCCCACTACTAGGCCCATTTTAAAGATGGTGGGCATCAGGGAAGAGGAAGAAAGAGATGATGACACATGTATGATGCCTGCCATGTGCTGGATGCTGTCCCAGGCACTTTTGATCCTTGCAGCTAATGGATGGTACAGTTATTCCTACTCCATTTTACAGATGGGGAAACTGAGGCTTAGAGAAAACCTTCTCTCCTCGATGGCACGTGGAGATGTGGGATACTCAGTCTCTCTGAATTTAAGCTCCACCACAAGGAGTCCCCAGTCTGTCCTAACACACACCACTACTCTGATGTTCCTTCTGTTCCTGTCTGTGAAGCGGGTCTCCTTCCAGAAACGGTCCCTTCCTCCAGGCTAGAGATGGCGAGTCAGAGTCTCCCATTACTTCTTCCTTAGATGCTCTGCCTTGGTTTTACGCCTATCGCTTGTCTCTAACGCCCTCAAATAATAATCTCGCCAAGTGGACCACTCTGTTCTCAAAAGTCCCCAGCTCAAGATAGCTTAAACTCTTCTAGCCGGAGCCTGGTGACGTGGCCTCCTCGTTGGATGTAAACCATTCCACTTTCACATTTCAACTAACCTATGAGGGCGGCATTATCACCACCACTTTGCGCTGAACCCCACTTTACAGACGTTAAAATTTTTAGAGAGGAGGTAAAACAACTTGCCTAAGGAGTCAACAGCCAAGTGGAGGTCTGACCCCACCTCCATTTGGTTTCAAATGCAGTGTTCTCAGTCCTATATACATACAGCAGCGCCAAAAAAAAAAAAAAAAGCAGACATGGGCTGGGGACCCCTCCCCAGCTCCGCATAGAAAAACAAGTCAGAAGATCCTCAAAAGCACTAGAATATGGCAAAACACAGAGAATATAGCTCGCATCCCAGGAACTCTGTGCCTTAGCCCCTGATGATCCCAGGAGCCGACCCCACATCGAACGCTGCTCCCTGAGTGTGGGAAGAGCTGGAGTATGTTAGCCGAGTTTCCTGCACTGATCAGCACAAACTCGGGTTAGCTACCATCCTCCTGCTCTGGGGCCTCTCCCCTAAGCATGCGCTCTGAGAACCCGGCGGGCCGGCGGGACTCTGCCTTGTTCAGCAGGTTATCAAACCTAATGACATCAGAGGCTGGGCCAGAGACTGGGCGGTCCATTTGAAGCCCTGCTGGCCTGCCATGTGCTGGAAGAGGTTGCAAATGACTTACCGGGCACTCTCTACGGAATGAGAAATGGCACCTCCACCCCGCCACTGTCCAAAAGTGCCTAGAGAAGCCAGCTCCAGGAGGGCCTCCCGCCCTCCCCCGGTCCCTCCCAACCCACCTCCCGGGAAGGTCTGGAGCTGGAGGCCCCTCACTCACCTCCTGTGGCCTTCTCTCCTCTCCTTTTTCACTATTCTTCGTTCAGCTCTCTAGAGCACGAAGGGGAGGGAAGATCCCAGGACCTTCCAGAGCCGGTCCTCCGCCGGCCTAGGGAGAAGCACACTGTGATCAATGTAATGAAGTGTCCCTGCGGATTCTGCGACTGGCTGGAGTCCAGGACGTTGGGAACCGCACCCCTCCCGGAACGAACTCGGGTGCCTGCTGGGCTGCGGACCGTGGGGCTGGAGAGGGTGGGGGAGGGGAGGCGCAGCGCCGCTTCCGAGGTCGCCAGTGTCCCGTTCCCCCCTCCACACCCCCACGCTCGGTCCCGCGCGGCGCTCACGCCGAGGTGGGGCGCCGAGCTGCTATGCGGGCGCCCAAGGGCCTCTAGGTCCCGCGGCGGGCCAGTCCCAAACTTTGGGAACTGAGAGCCCCCCCGGGCAGGAGCAGGGGCGAGGCCAGCCTGTCCCCTAGGGAGTCCTGATCCCCGCTCGGGTCCCGGGATCCCCGGGCCGCCGCGGCGCCCGGGGCACCCACCTGCCAAGCGGGAAGCCGCGGAGAGCCCCGAGAGGCCGTGGGAGCCGGGCCCGCCCTCCGCGGGAGGGACCTCGGCGCGGGCACGGCAAGGAGGGGCCGCGGCACGTCGGTGCGGCGCCCGCCCGCTTCACCTGGCGCGGAGTTGGACTGCAGGGTGTGGCTTCAGGTGGGACGCCGCGAGCGCCGGAGCTCCGGGGAGATCGCTAGGGGCGCAGGGGCTCCGGGCTCGGCCTAAGGGGCGACTGCGTGCCCCCCACCCCCCACGCCCCACGCCTTCCCTCCAGCATCTCTGTCCCAGCCCTGCCGACCACAGCCCGCCTGCCGCGACCTCCCCGCGGCACCAAAGCCAGGACCTGGATTATCTACTGAGCGGCTGTTGAGCAATCAGCTCGTTAATTTGCTCGCAGATACCTGATTGGAGCCCCGGGCCCACTCTCCACAACCTGTGTCCACTTGCACATCTCTCAGAGCCCGATCCGGAGTCCTGCAACTGGGCACTTTAGCTTGCTTGCCAAGTCTGGACAAGTTCCCCCGCCCTGCGACTGTCCCGGGGTGGCCTCCTGGTGCAGGCAGGAGAGCAGGATAGAAAGGGATCCCGATTTCCTTGTCACCCTGGCTTAGTCCTGAGAACTTTCTGTGGTTTTAAGATTACAGAAAAGGGGCTCTGAGGGGAGAGACCGCTTCCAGCAGCATGCCACCCACAAACTGGACGGTGACGTCCCAGCAGGAGCCCTCCACCTGGTTTGAGGGAGGGGCAGTGGCCACCTCTCTGTCTCCTCCCCAACTAAGGAAAAGACCTTTGCTGTCCTCTACTTGGGCCCTCGCTGAGTGCTGAGAGGATTCTGGCTTAGAAATGTGTGTCATCTGGAACCCAAATGGCTGCTTCCTATGGCGGCTAGGTGACTGTGGTGTCAGTCACAGGTAGGGGACACAAGACCCGGGACAGTACAGGACTGCTTCTTTTGTCACCGTTGCTAGGTATCTCAAACTTTGGTTTTTAATGGACATCTTGTTTGCCACGTATTTTTGATCGCTGATTCCTTGGCTGTCTGGGTGCTGTTTCTAAATAAGTCATCTGCATCGTGGGCTTGCTTGCTTCTCTGGAGTTTCCTCCAGGGCTCCCAACAACCTGCATAAGGGCGAGCCATGGGAACTTGCCAGCCCCACGAAGCTCTGAGCCTGGTGTGGTGGCGCCTCGGACCTCTATACCCTCATTGTACTGGGGGAGGGTGGTATTGGAGCTTCAGCAGCTGATCACAGGTTCTCCCAGCCCCACACATATGTGCATTTCATGTCTGTTCACTCCTGCCTCCATCTCCCCTTTCTCCTCTCTGTCTTTCCTGAGTGGATTCTATTTCCTCTGGACATTATAAGCAAAGCCCTGATCTCCTGTGACCAGTTAGGAAGCTGCCTGAGTCCCTTGAAGTGACACCAATATGGCTTCCCCATAGATCAGTCGCCCTGGGCCTGGGTACTTGCCTGGTGTCGGTTATAGGAAGGAGGTTGGGCTGTGTGGAGGGTGGGAGGAGATTGGTCGCTGTGGATTTGAAATTCACTGCAAACCGAAGCTGGAATGGAGTGTAGCATTGACTCTAGAATCAACACCCTAAATTACTTTTTTACGGATCCACAAATGTACATGTGAATTACCGTCTTTTAATAAAAATACCTTTATATGTCAAAACCATGGCTCTACGCATTAATTTGAATTGCTGAACTACAATAAAATATGAATGTTAGAATATTACCGGAAATCAACTGGTACCTAATTTGATTTGAATCAAGGTTGACAAATCCCAGAATAGCTATTAGTCAAGTCTCATCCTTTCCTTAGAGGGAATAGGTTTAGGAAACACTGGGTCTCTCCTCCACCCTTGGAAGCTGAACTGGGGCCTGGGGCCTCAAGAAAGGCAGGGGCTCGCAAACAAGATGGACCAAGCAGGTAATGACTCCTCCGTTGATGAAGCTAACCAAATCAGCTTTCAGTAAGATTCGCTAGAGACGTGTCCATCCTCAGTACAGGACTACACTAGCGGACCTCTCAGGCTCATGAGCCACACACATCGAGTCCTGTTTCTATATTCCCGCTGCTTCTACACAAGGCTCAACTCAGCGGGTTGGATGATGCCCTGTTGGCTGGGATGACTGGGATATAAAGGGTAGATTGAAGGGTAGATTCCTGTTTGTGTCTCTCCCTCCTTGCTCCTCTCATCCATGCGCAGCTCAGCCCTGCCTCAGAGGAGAGCGCAGGACAACGGCGTGGAAAGTCCTAGCCACAGTCTGAAGGACAGTGTTCCCTCCATGTGCTCACACCTCACTCTGGGCCTGTTTCCTCCACTGTGGTGCCAAGGCTATGGGACACCAGGCAAACAGTCCCCTGAGGAGACTTGGTCTCTGGCACACGTCTGATGCCAAGGGAGTCATATGCTGCCATTCACACATCAGGCAGGAGCCTTGGAGAAAGCACAGATAAGACCTTGAGGAAAGGCTCTTGGAGTATTGGCCAGCCAGCCAGCACAGTCTTCAAGGGCCTCGGGGTGGCACATAGGGTGGGGTGAGCACTTCCCAATTCTCTCTCAGCCAGTGGCTGTCGGGCCTGTTGTAACATCTGACTGGTGCCGCCAGGGCTGAGAGCCCAGGTTAGGGCCAAAGAGGAAAGATATGGATCAACTTGTGGTTTAGAAATACAAACACATTATCCTTCCCTGCGCTTTTCTGCTCAGAACTTGAAAAGCTTCCTAGGAACCAGGAGCTTGCTAACAAGCTCCCTAGCTCTCTGTTCGTTTCCTATCTCTGGATGCCTCTGCTCCCCTAACAACAGTAGTAATCACACCTGCCAATTACTGAATGGCTCCTGTGGGCGGAGCCCTGAGGTAAGCTCTTAGCTTATGCTGCCTCACTCTATCTGCACAATAACCCTGATGGAAGCACCATACTATTCTTACTTTACAGGTGATGAAACTGAGGCACAGAGTAGCTAAGAAAGGACCCATAATTCCTGCTGTAAGCAAGCATATGTATGGATCCTTCCCACCCACGCACATGCCTACCCATTCATATGTTGAGATCTAATCCCCAATGTGAGAAAGTTATTAGGAGGCAAGGTCTTAGAGGTGATTAGCACCCCCTGAAGACCCCTTGTAACTACTCTGGTGGTTAACCCCAGGCAACACCCAGGAGGCAGAGGCAGGTGGATCTCTGTGAGTGTGAGGCCAGCCTGGTCTGCATAGCAAGTTCCAGGACAGCCAGGGCTACACAGGAAAACTCTGTCTCCAAAAACAAGCAAGCACTCACCACCAACAAAATAACTCTCCAGGTTAGCAGGGACATAGTCTAAAGAGAAACACTTGTGCCCCTCCCTTAGAGGCATCCAATCTATGAGATAGTGGACCACACAGAATGACGATTTTCTGCTTGAATTCCTTTCTAAGGGAAGGGTAAGCTGAAGCTCTGGAGCCAGCCAGAACTTGCCTCCCAGGAAGGGACTTCGTACACTTCTGACACCCTATCCACCCACCTCACAGGATGTTGCTGAGACGAAGATGGGCGACTAACGGCAGAACCACACCTTGGCAAGGACTATGGAGTCATACACTCCACAGTGCCCTCTATTTACAACTAAACCTGTTGGTACTCTTGAAGATGGACTTGGTGGGGGCCACTGAATCCTTCTCTTTGTTCCTCTTCCCAGTGTGGCCTTACTGAATAAATATTTTTGCTCCACTCCCAATCCCCATTACTTCTTTCTTTAATTGGCATTATCAGTGAGGTGACTGAGCCTAGCTTGTTGGGGCTGCCAGAGGACAGGTTTTTACTCTAAAAAACAAACAAACAAACAAGCAAACAAACAAACAAACAAAAACCGTAACATCTCATGAACGGAATTAATGCCCTACACAAGTGGCCTCAGAATGGGCCCCAGTCTCTAGCCACCAGATGTTATTATGAAAAGATAACCACTTATAAACCAGGAAATGGACCTTCCCTGAATACCAAGTTTTCCAGCATCCTAACCTTGGACGTCTGAGCTCGCAGAACCGTGAGAAATGGCACTGCGTATAAGGCGCATGGTCAGTGGTATCCTGCACATCAGCCAGTGGCCTAAGCCAGTTCCTGAGTGGAGAAGCCACGCCACATCACATGACTCTAAGTTTGTTCTCCTAACCTGATACTCAGAAGTCCCTGAGGCCAAGGACAGTCTGAACAGTCGGCAGTCCGGTGCATGGGATATCTCCACCCAAAATCTGAGTAGGACATGAGAACTACCATATGTGCAGGGTAAAGGTGGTCCCGGAGTCCCCTGTTAGGACCAAGTACTAGGTCTCACTGGTCGTGAGTCAACACCCTGCCTGCCGATCCTTCTCAAGCTGTCTGACCATCACAGACCAAAAATGGGCTTGACAGCAGGAGTCTCACATTCAGAGGCTACTGGGGAGGTAGACAACCAACACACCTGCATACTCCAGGCAGGAGGAGGAGTCTGTGGGGACTGGGATCTAGGAGGGCCAGTGGGCCTGCTCCCCAGAACTCCCAGCCCCAGAAGATGCCTCTCTTCTAAGATGTTCCACACC